CATGATAGCAAAAAACAGCCAGTAAAGCCCTATAACCCATCCTAGAAAACACCTCAAAATTGCTGTTTTAAGCCAAAACCAAGGTCAGTTTTGCTTTTACCCATCATGCACCATGTGGGGCAGGATTTTTTTTTTATACTGTGCAAACTCACCACACAGACCCATTCTCTCATATCTGGGCCAAAATCTACAACTCACAGCTTATCTGAGGGAACTGAGTTCAAAACGTTGATCTACATGAGAGAGACTGGTGTCATTGACATAGTTCTACATGATGGACAGTGGAAGAGTTAAGCAAAAAATAAAAGCCATCAAATATGATTAATTCAGTGCAGAGGTGTTTACATCATACCCTGTGGAGGGTGTGAGAAGAATTATGTAGGTGAAATATTCAGGGACCTGATTCAACATAAGATAAGTTAACTTATATATTCTTGCCAGAAGAGGAGCAACATGGAATAATACTTGTATGGTAAATCATAAGACAGAAAACACTAGTTATTAAGGAACAGATAAGTGAAACAGACTTTGTTTAGACTACCATGTTCACCACAATCAAAACCATCACACAAAACTCAGGTTCATTTTCAGTCTGAGGTACACATTCACACTTTATCACAGTTAACCTCACCTCTGATGCTTTCAGTCGTGTTTTTCTCTTTACTGCAGGTCAAGACAAGGTCATATAAGACCTAGCCAAAATAATATTGTTCTGTGGCATTATAGATTACTCGGCAGTTGAATTATTATCCTCCATCAAGTTTGCAAATTTAGACAAATAATTTTTGGCAGCACTATGATCCACATAAACCTTTTCCTAACAGATGCCATGGGGGTTTCTTTACCCTTTCTAACATCCATAGGAATATTCACAAGGCTTTTTGATCTTCAGTTCTTCATGGAAACATTTGGCTTTCTCAGTAAAAATGTCAAGAAAGATACACAACATTAAGCAGTGCCTGCAGAAACTTTCTTAGAAAATATTGTTAAAAATCTTTGTTTTCTGTCTCTTTAAATTAAAAAAAAAAAATGTAATTCTTTATTTCTCTGTTAATATTACAATGTGGGGTTTACATATTATAAGATATTATTACATTTTATAAAATACTTATTACAAAGAAGGCCACTAGTATGCCTAAGTATGCCTAGGCATTTCGGGCAGACTAATACTAGTTCTTACTCTATATTGACACAGGATATGGATGATACTGGTAATAAGGTTAGGTAATTGTAGTGATTAACTAGATTTACAAAACTGAGGTAGTTCAAAATATTTAAGAACTTAACAATTAGTTGATCTATTAATGGAAATGGTCTCATTTTGGCATGATACAGTCTCTATATTAGAGTGTCTTAGGCAAACTTATGACTACCTTAAGAATTATGAAGCAGTAGCTGTATTCAGAATTTTATGTTTACAGTCATGTGTAAATAAGGGGGAGTCACAGATATCAGTAAGTGTATTTTGCTTTGGATATATTCAAGATAAAGTAGTTTTCATGTGGTTAGCTACAGTTCTAGAGTTTTTAGGCAGGAGTTTCAGATTTTAGGCCCTTTTATGTACATTGAATTTTTGTATAGATTCATATCAGTGTCATTTTTTCAATATTGTACAATAATATGATCTGTGAAATATTTACCCCTCTAAAAAGATTTAAGTAATTCTACCTTCTTGATAGTGTATTCTTTTTGTGTTTCATTAAATCAAGAGAAGGTCCAAGACTTCTCTCCTTGCCACTCCTCCTTCCCCAGTTTTTAATATCTTGACATAAATGGAAAATGATCAGCTTGGAAGGTGAAGTGAGGAATTCTTTAGTGTAATAACATCACGACAGTTGATAAACCATACCCCGGCCGAGATTGAACCCGCGGTCAGAGAGTCTCAAAACTCCAGCCCGTCGTGTTAGCCACTAGACCAGCTAACCACAATAAGATTCGTCCAACTAGGTATATTTCTACACCATAGGAAGGTTAGCACAGGCACCACTGTGACCACAAATGCAAGTTTTTACAGACGAATCTCCAGCTAGCGTGGCCGTGACGAACTCTAGCTCAAGTCCCTTCACTGCCATCAACATGACTCACGAAATCGTAATGACACGATTGCAAACAAACCATACCCCGGTCACAGTGGTGCTAACCTTCCTATGGTGTAGAAATATACCTAGTTGGACGAATCTTATTATGGCTAGCTGGTCTAGTGGCTAACGCGATGGGCTGGAGTTTTGAGACTCTCTGACCGCGGGTTCAATCCCGGCCGGGGTATGGTTTGTTTGCAATCGTGTCATTACGATTTCGTGAGTCATGTTGACAGCAGTGAAGGGACTTGAGTTAGAGTTCGTCACGGCCACCCTAGCTGGAGATTCATCTGTAAAAACTTGCATTTGTGGTCACAGTGGTGCCTGTGCTAACCTTCCTATGGTGTAGAAATATTCCTAGTTGGATGAATCTTATTGTGGCTAACTGGTCTAGTGGCTAACGCGACGGGCTGGAGTTTTGAGACTCTCTGGCCGTGGGTTCAATCCCGGTCGGGGTATGGTTTGTTTGCAATCGTGTCATTACGATTTCGTGAGTCATGACAGTTGATGCCTTGACACTAAAATCCTCCCACCTGCACATTTATTTATTTATTTATTTAGTAATTTAAGCATACAAACAGAGGTACAAAAAATACAGGTAAGAGCAGCATGCCAAAGCCACTTATATGCATAGCATTACGGGCTGGCTTAAAATTAACTTAAGATTAACTAAGCAATGATGAAATCAGTGATAAAACATTATTGTAAACAGATAACTATAAAGCACAAATGAGTATTACAAAGACAGGTCATATGGTTGCTTGCATTGCTGTACATTCAGTCGAATGGAGTATTCTGTTAGGTAGTGTATTTAAAAAAATACTAAAGTTAGATTGGGTCCTAGGTTTAACATTTGTGTGATATAATTGTGAGTAACATATAGGATATACAATTTATAAGGTTCAGTTATTCAGTATTTATTTGGTTTTGAGTGAGTAAGTGATCTTTGAGAAGAGACTTGAATTTATAAACAGGTAGTGTTTCTTTTATATTTACAGGTAATGAATTCCAGATTTTAGGGCCTTTTATGTGCATTGAGTTTTTGCATAGCATGAGATGGACACGAGGAACATCAAAGAGTGATCTGTGCCTTGTGTTATGGTCATGTGTTCTGTTGAGGTTGGCAAGATGTTTGAGGGGAGGGTTAATATCAGAGTTAAGTGTTCTATGTATGTAATAGGTGCAATAATAAGTATGGATGTTTTGTATGGTGAGTAGGTTGAGTGTTTTGAATATTGGTGGAGTGTGTTGCCTGTAGTGAGAATTTGCACATCTTAAATGAGCCCTTTTTACTAGAATAAAAATTAAGCATTCATTTGTTGCTAACTCTCTAGTTCATCTGCCTGCCTATACAATGTTAGTTTTTTACAAAAAAAAAAAAAAAAAAAAAAAAAAAAAGACAAATATATTACTGAAAATGAGCAAGTGCCAGAATTATCAAAACTACTAATACTAAGATACATATTATAATTAGATTATTTAAAATTGTTTTCTTATATTAACTCTTAAACATACTATATACTTCACAAATTATGAAGATCATTTAAAATTCAAAATTGTAAATAGTATCCTGTATATAGAAAAAAATAATAAACTTGAGTTTTTCAAAAATAAAAATCAGGATTTTTGCTGTTAATTATGAACTTCTGAATATGAAAGATTATTTCCAATGTAGAGTTAATTTTCAAGTTTGGGAGATTCCCAAATAATACTATCCAATAAGAGAGAAAGTTTACCGTACAATTTTATTTTTGGATCTTATAATAAATTCCTTTGTCATTAAGAAGAAGTAGCCATAAAAATGGATTATTGTACAGTAGTTTATAATGTGGGTTGCAGCACTGTATGACCCTTGTGGGTTTAACTCTTAGTTATGATTATAATAATAATATAATATGGGATGAATTAAACATTGCAATAGCAAAATTATTTAAAAATGAGATGTAATAGAAGAAAGTGATTTACACAGTATATTCATGAAGTATTAAATACTGTAATAGGGTAATAATGTATTACTTTGTGCCATTATAATACAGTGGAACCTCAAAAATCGAACTGCTCCCAACTCAACCAATTATGTAAGTGTATTTTTGTAAGTGCTTTTATAAGTGTATTTTTGAGGGTCTTAAATGGACTAATCTAATTTACATTATTCCTAATGGGAATAAATTCGTTCGGTAGTGGCACTCAAACAGCCTTCTGGACCGAAGAATGTTCGATATTAGAGGTTCCACTGTAATTCTTGTACCATATGGTACCCTTACTATAGACATTGTGTGGTTTGTATGTGTTGTTAAATCCAAGCGTTGTGTACTGTTCTACTTTTGCATCACTGAAGAACATCATGTAAAACATCCTGTAATTTATTATTAATAAGACTACTCAAAGAATGTTAAATAAATTTCCTATTTAAAATTATATGTGGAATGTTGAAGGAAGTGTGTGTGTGCGAGGAGGTTAAATATTATAAAGTATTTTTTTTTAACAGAATGGTATTTAGATAAGATTATTTAGGTATGTAGAGTATTGGTTATGTTAAAAGTTGCAAAATTTTAATGTTGTGTGAAATGTTAAGAGATACATTACACACCACTTATGAGGTATGCTTTGTTCTTTGTTTTACCCTCATATGATAATACTTATCAGTGGAACTTATTGTACAGAAAAATATTTCTATTGTAGAAATATTGTTTACTGTACAAATATTGTTTATTGTAGAAAATGTTTGTAATGGAATTTGCTAAATAACTTAACAACTACAGATAAATAATCTCATTCTTTCATTACACCAGATATGGAAATGGAAATAGTGGACTTTTTATTATTTTACTTAGTTTGATTCTAACAAATAATCGGAAGTGTGATAAGAACCCTAATTTGTGTAAGCCTTTGAGACATGAAGCTTTTGTTTCTATGTTACAGAGAGGACAAACACTTAGTTTCAAGAAGTGGTGGTCAAGAGTTTTCGCCAGATAAGACACGGCAAGATGCTACATCTCATAACCTGAATTTTGAACATAAACACAGATCTGGAACTCTTAATTCCATAACAGGTAAGTTAATTCACAATATCTAAGAATAGCCACACTCTTCAGGTATTTGTCCTTGACATTTCTAAACTAAGTACTGTACAGTATGTTCATCTACAGTTCAGTTTTCTTATTTTGTTTTCTAAATTATGGTTTTCCCATGTTAACAGTTACTGTAACTGATAGTAACTGTAACAATGTATTTTTACTAGATTAACAGTATCATATACAGTGACACTTGTATTATCTGTTCCAGTAACTGCAAGTGTGAGTTTTGTAAATAACCTGATGTTTGGCAGTTGTTAAATTAATGAATCAAAGATCAGTTGTCAAAGGGAGGGAGGTGAAAGGGGCTGGAGAGGTTTTTGGTTAGGTATAGTTTATAATTTCATCACATGTGACTGTGCTGCCCTGCTTTGCTCATCATGGTCACTCGTTCTGAATTATCTCCAGTGAGCTTTCTGACTTTAGTGTTAAATATCAAACAGCTTTTATCAGTATAATATTATAACAGTTCTTTAAATTCAAATTCAAATTCAGATTTTTATTTCTTTGCATAGATTACAATGTGTGACTAACATGTTATATGGAGTCTGTTTCCATGCACAGTTTACAATATGTAATTACAATATTGATTTGCTAAGTGCAAAGAAAGCCACTATCATGCCGAGGAATTTCGGGCAGACTAAACCTAATGCTTTACAAACTACTTAATATTAGACATATATAACATAGTTGGTTTGAACACTGTTTTTTATATATCAACAGAGGTAGTAGCGGTTTAGCAGTAATTAACCCCTAAATGGTCCAAACATATATATACGTTCTTACCGCTAGTGCCCCAAACGTTTATACACATTTTATTTTTCCTGCCTCCAAATTTGGCATGATTGGCCTGAGATGCTTGGTCAGCATAGAATGGGTTTTAACACTTGGTGTGAACCATATTAAAAAAATCTGGGGCCACTTAGTACCTTGTGGGAGCGCCAGTTAAATTGAGCACCATCTAGAGCAAACAGTGTGGCAAACACCAAGGATTCACTGATGTAATGTCATATTAACACTCCCCTTGTAAGAGGAAAGTGATGTTAACCCCAAGTTTGGGGTCTGTCTATCTTTGTCTGTCTATCTTTGTCTGTCTATCTGTGTCTGTCTACCTCTGTCTGTCTATCTCTGTCTGTCTCTTTCTGTCTGTCTATCTGTCTGTCTAACTGTCTCTGTCTATCTGTCTCTGTCTCTCTCTCTCTTTTTATCTATCTCACAGGTACACAAATACAATTATACATAGTGTAAATTACCTAGGATAACCTAAAAAATCCAAAGTGCTATACTGTGCTTGTAGATATAATGCATTAGAATACCTGTTGATTCACAGTGGCTCTCTCTGAGACAGAGAGAGAGAGAGACAAGCAGAGAGACAGAAAGAGACAAGCAGACAAAGAGACAAGACAGAGAGACAGATAATCAGAGACAGATATACCAGCTCATCGAATGTCACCCCTTATCTCTGCACCCTCGCTGGCACCCATCAAATGTCATCCTTTATCTCATCTTATCTCTGCACTATCTCATCTTATCTCTGCACCTTGCTGGCGCCCATCAAATGTCATCGCTTATCTCATCTTATCACTGCCCTCCCGGATGCTTGTCACTGACACTTGTCTTGCACATTGCTTCAAGGGAACTTCTTCCTTCTTCCTTCTTCCTCCTTCTTCCTTCCTCCTTCTTCCTTCCTCCTTCTTCCTTCCTCCTTCTTCCTTCCTTCTTCCTTCTTCTTCTTCTATACTCCCATGTATCCAAAACATTGCTTGGACCTATAAATACTTTGTAAATATTCCTAGACAATAGTAAATGACCAAGGCAGGTGTAAATGTCCACCTGTCAATGTGTTTGTGACAATTTGAGTACAATTTCAGTACCTAATATTAGTGTCAGAACAAAGATTGGTTATGAAATGACAAGAACTACAATAAATTGTAATTATCAGAGCATAAAAATTATATAAAATAATATAAAAATGAGAAAAAATGGTATATCGGCAACGCTTCTGCAAGTGGCAGGACTCAATGTTGCCGGCAGGTGAGCATTAACCCTTTGACTGTTTTGGTCGTATATATACATCTTAGACATGTAGAGAGAATGGAGCGAAACAGAATGACTTCAAGAGTGTATCAGTCTGTAGTGGAAGGAAGGCGGGGTAGGGGTCGGCCTAGGAAAGGTTGGAGGGAGGGGGTAAAGGAGGTTTTGTGTGCGAGGGGCTTGGACTTCCAGGAGGCATGCATGAGCGTGTTTGATAGGAGTGAATGGAGACAAATGGTTTTTAATACTTGACGTGCTGTTGGAGTGTGAGCAAAGTAACATTTATGAAGGGATTCAGGGAAACCGGCAGGCCGGACTTGAGTCCTGGAGATGGGAAGTACAGTGCCTGCACTCTGAAGGAGGGGTGTTAATGTTGTAGTTTAAAAACTGTAGTGTAAAGCACCCTTCTGGCAAGACAGTGATGGAGTGAATGATGGTGAAAGTTTTTCTTTTTCGGGCCACCCTGCCTTGGTGGGAATCGGCCAGTGTGATAATAAAAAAAAATAATAATAAATATACATCTTACAAGCCAGTGTTTCAGACATATATATACTCAATAATTCTAGCGGCTTCAAATCAAGCAGGAGATAGCTGGTAGGCCCACATGTGAGAGAATGGGTCTGTGTGGTCAGTGTGCACCACATAAAAAAAGTCCTGCAGCACGCAGTGCATAATGAGAAAAAAAAACTGACCGTTTTTTTTTGGATTAAAACGCCGAATTTGAGGTGTATTTTCGTATAGTATTTATCGTTGTATTCTCGTTTTCATGGTCTCTCTTGATAAAATGGAAAACATATTGCAGAAATAGAGATGATTTTGATTAGTTTCACGATTAAAACAACCTTGAAATTGAGCTCAAAGTAGTGGATATGTTCGATTTTTACCAATGTTCAAGAGTAAGCAAATCACACCACACGTCCATTACACATTAACTGGGGAGTCTAATATTCTTTCAGTAGTGCACTGATATTATTTATACCACTTTTACAATAATGCAGTAGTCTGCATAACAGTAAATTTTGTATTTTTTGTATAAATAAAAAATCAAAATAGAAAGCAATAGTAATATAAGAGGGGCCTAGAGACGTGACTAATGAACAGAGGATATGTTATTTTAGTGCCAAGAATGTCTACATTGTTTATTCTGGACCCTATTTTGAACTTGGCATCTTTTTTAATTTGCATGAAATTTGTCAAATTGCCAATTTCTGACCACTTTATTGGGTAGTTCAAATCGGTAAACAAGGGGTTTCTTGTACTCATTTGATATAAAAAATGGAGTTCTAAAGAAATAGCTATGAGTTTGGTCAACTGGAACAATGGAATTGGCCAAAAACAGGGCTCAAAGCCTGTGAAATCGCTGATGCATATCTGTCGCCAAGACCGCTAACTTCGCGGGAGTGTAATTCCGTGAGTTTTCAACCAAATTTCATACTTTTGGTGTCATTACCATCGGGAAAAGATTCTCTATCATTTCATAAGAAAAAATAATTTTTTTTTTCCAAAAATTTTGCAACATAGAATGAGTTTCAGAAAGGGGCTTGCGACAGTCAAAGGGTTAAGTGTCAACTTTGCAGCCTCATACCTCAGTAAGTACTGACCCTATTTTTTTTATTTTAATCCTATAACACCTAGAAAATTTTTCTCTTTATTTCAATGAAAGCAACGATTTTTTTATCTTTCAAAATATTCGGGGCACTGGGTGAGAGAATGTATATATACGTTTGGACCATTTAGGGGTTAAATTAACAAGTACATGTAGTTGAATAACAAGTTACAGTACTATATTTTAACACATTATACATAATGAGATTGAGACCATTTTGGTTTTGAAATAATGTTATAAAATTTGGCAATTTTTGGGTTGATGGTGGGAATAGTATAGAATAGTGTTTGTGTTGTTAGTTTTGGGAGATGAGGTGAGTTCTAAGTAGTGCCTTGAATTGGTGTGCAGGCAGGGACCCTTTTGTATTTTCAGGCAATGAATTCCAGATCTTAGGGCCCTTTATATGCATTGCATTTCTGCATAGGTATAGATGGACATGAGGGATATCAAAGAGTGTTATGTGTCTTGTGTTATACAAGTGTGTATTCTCTTGTAGTTCTCAAGGAGTTTGAGAGAAGGGTTTATATCGGAGAATAATTTTCTGTGTATGTAGTAGGCACACTAATATAAGTGGATATTTTGTATGTTAAGCAGGTTCAAGCTCTTAAATAGTGGTGGGGTGTGTTGCCTGGTGCAGGAGTTTGTAATCATTCTCACAGTAGCTTTCTGCTATATAATTAAAGATTTAAGGTGATTTGCTGTGGTTGAACCCCATGCACAAATTCCATAGGTGAGGTAAGGGTAGATGTGAGAGTGGTAAAGAGCAAGAAGTGCCATTTGAGCCACATAGTTCCGTATCTTAGAGAGGATGCCTACTATTGTGGAGATTGTTTTGGAAATATGTTAAATGTGGGTCCAAAATTTAAGACAGCTGTCAATGTGGAGTCCTAGAAATTTTCTGTCAGTGTGTCTTGAAATGGAGGAGCCATTTATTGATATGGAGGGATATGTTGTGTATCTTTATTTATTTATTTATTTATTTATTTATTTATTAACAATTTGAGCACACATACAGAGGTACAAAAAAATACAGATAAGAGCAGCATGCCAAAGCCACTTATACTATGCATAGCATTACGGGCTGGCTTAAAATTAACTTAAGATTAACTAAGCAATGATGAAATCAGTGATAAAACATTAATGTAAACAGATTACTATAAAGCACAAGTGAGTATTATATGTTTAGCTATATATTTGCAGCTCTGTTACCAAACAGTACATAGTAGGTTTTGTCGATATTGAGAGTAAGTTTGTTGGCCGTCATCCAAGTGGATATTTTTAGCATTGTTTACAGTGTTTCTAAGTATGGTTTGGTTTGGGTGAGAGAAGATGTAGGTAG